ATATATTTAGACATATCCTAATATCAGTAGGCACTCACTGAAAAAAATAACCCTAAACAGATTTCTTACCATTTCAAAGTTGAACCAGCTAAGTGAAAAGATGACTTTTTTAAAAGGAACTTTGCTGTTTTCAGGATTTTTGGTTAAAAAAAAGAAGAAGAAAAACCCATTAACCCTTGTGTCTTTTATTTGTCCAGAGCACTCAATAAATATGTGACATTGTGCTTCCTGATAGACTTGTAAGCTTTGAAGTTTGTTTGCAGGTATGTGTCAAAGTGCCCCCAAATGATCAGTATCATGTCAGCACGTCGTGCTGTGTCCCTTCTTTTCTGGCTATGGGCAAAGACCATCCCAGATAAGTCGGAAGAAATTTCTAATAAAAGAAAAAAAAAAAAAAACTTAAATCTGATTAACAGTTATTCAGGAAATACAACCATGATTTAAAATGAAATTAATATTTATGGATGAGCCAAGATATAAATAAAACAATACAAGAATGTTAGAGGAAAATAATAATACTTTAGAGTCTTGAGGAAAGCCTATTTTCAGAGACTTCATCAAGTCGGTAGGTATCTGATAATATTATCAATGCCATCAAAAGGGTTTTGTCCACCTTTCTGATTTTTTCTGTTTTTTGATCAATATCACAATCTTCACATAAAACTTTTTTTTTATATATCAGACAAAAATAATCCTCTAGTTAATAATACAAAAACATTTCAAATCTCTAAAATCATTCCAGTTTGCAAGCAAAATGTCAAATTTTCTCCTCACATAATAATTTCATTGCTGCTCTAAATGTTTGATGAACATCTGCCCGTGGCAGCTAATTAGCCATGCTACTTATAACAGTGCTCCAGTCCCTCCTGCAGTAAAACATCCACACAGCATGATGCTGTCCCCTCCGTGCTTTACAGTTTGGATGGTGTTTTCTTGTTAGCGATTTTCTTCCTGTTTATTATCATATTTAATGATGATGAAAATGAGTGAAAGCTTATACTTAGGTTTCATCACAGGACATATCCTTACAAATTAAGTTTTTTTTTTTTCCTGAGTGCTTTTGCTAACTGTAATCTGGCCTTTTGTTCACAAGTTCATCTCTGGGTCGCCGAACAAATAAATTTTTGTATTTATAAAATTTTACCATTGTATGTAGTTGTATTTAACCTTATAAATAAAGAATTAAGAAAAGAGAAAGATTTGATAACCTTAGTTTGTGTAAACTCCAGATTTAACATGACTTTATTAAGTCAGCCTTAATTTGAATGTTCTTCCAAATGAAATTTATAACAGCTTAAAAATAAAATCAAAATGGAAGAGATCAAACAATTGTTTATGTTTATGAATCAGATTTTTTAAAAATGTGCTATCAATCCAGCTACTAATTGTACATGTTTTTGAAAAGTCTGTGTTTGAAACACCTTGCTCATACCACATAATCTAATCTCAGTGTCTTTGAAGCTTGCTCAAATAAGCCATTACTTGGCAGCAGGCAAGCCCTGCCTCTCGCTCTTCCTCACAGTCAAACACAAACAGATAAGAGAGGTAATTTGCGAACAAGGTTGGGGGTTGTTTTTAACCATTGCTGGGTCAATGGTCGTTGCTAAACATGCACACAATCGCATACACTCTCCTCTAAGCAACAGCAGGCATTGTTTCTGTGGTGAAAGGGTTGCAGGTTCCACACACTGTATTTGTGTCTGAGTTGGTTCTACATTTCTCATGACATTCTTTTTTTCTAACATAACACTCAAACCCAAATACGGATATCAGAGAGGATCTTCTGATCAAAGGAGAGATTGAGGGGAAAAAAAATCTCATTGTGGTTAGTTGTAATTGTGTGACAGATTTTTGACGTTCCTTTCCTCCAGCACGCCATCTTTGAAGCCAAGGAATTTCTTTATAAATAAGAGGGTTTAGCTATCTTCCCAAGAAATCTGTTACTGGCAGCGGAAAGCTGTGGAACAGAGTCATATCGGGAAATAGTATGTGTATTGCCTCAGGGTTGTTTAAAAACCCTCAATACAACTCTTGGCTGCAAAGCTTTAATATTTATATATTAAATATATTTCTTTTGCATTAATTTTTACATTTCTTGTGTACAGATTTCCAACCTAAAATGTCTGACTCTGGTATAGTGAACAATGACACTTAATATGACTTAATATAAAAACATGAAGAAGAGCTCTCCAATTTGTTGTATATATATATATATATATATATATATATATATATAACAGGTCCAGAATATTTTTTTTAAAAGGTCCCTTATCTATATATATAGATATATATACACTCACCGGCCACTTTATTAGGTACACCTGTCCGACTGCTCGTTAACACTTAATTTCTAAGCAGCCAATCACATGG